ACACTCACTCACTGAGCACTGAACACACACACTCACTCACTGAGCACTGAACACACACACTCACTCACTGAGCACTGAACACACACGCTCAGTGAGCACTGAACACACACACTCACTCACTGAGCACTGAACACACACACTCACTCACTGAGCACTGAACACACTCACTCACTGAGCACTGAACACACACACTCACTGAGCACTGAACACACACTCACTCACTGAGCACTGAACACACACACTCACTCACTGAGCACTGAACACACACACTCACTGAGCACTGAACACACACGCTCAGTGAGCACTGAACACACACACTCACTCACTGAGCACTGAACACACACACTCACTCACTGAGCACTGAACACACACACTCACTGAGCACTGAACACACACACTCACTGAGCACTGAACACACACACTCACTCACTGAGCACTGAACACACACAGTGAGCACTGAATACACACACTCACTGAGCACTGAACACACACACTCACTGAGCACTGAACACACACACTCACTGAGCACTGAACACACTCACTCACTGAGCACTGAACACACACTCACTGAGCACTGAACACACACACTCACTCACTGAGCACTGAACACACACACTCACTCAGTGAGCACTGAACACACACACTCACTCAGTGAGCACTGAACACACACATTCACTCACTGAGCACTGAACACACATACTCACTGAGCACTGAACACACACTCACTCACTGAGCATTGAACACACACACACTCACTGAGCACTGAACACACACACTCACTGAGCACTGAACACACACACTCACTCAGTGAGCACTGAACACACACACTCACTCACTGAGCACTGAACACACTCTCTCGGTGAACACTGAACACACACACTCGGTGAACACTGAACACACACACTCGGTGAGCACTGAACACACACACTCGGTGAGCACTGAACATACACACACTCAGGTGGCAGCCAGCACAGCCCCCGCCCGAACACTCAGCATGACGACCGGTAATTGGGCGGTGCTTCCCCATGTGACGCTGCGTGAGCGCTGAGGGCGGATGCCGGTGGGGATTGGGGATGGGGTGGTGGGAGATGGGGGGTGGGAGGTGGCAGGGAGACAAGAAGCAGGCTGGCTCCGTCAGGGCGCAGTCTGGGCCCCCTGGGCAGCCGGGCCTGTGAGCGGCAGCCCAGGTGCCGAGAGGTACAGGCACTCCGGCTGCTGTGGTCGCCCACTCTGGGGGCCGAGGCACCCGCCCTGTGGCTCCAGGAGCCCCGACACTGAGCCCAGCTGGTCCCTCGCAGGCCCGGCCCGCCCCGGCGGCCTCAGTCTCCGTGGTGACGTCGGCGTGGCCGGGCCCCAGGGGGAAGCCGTGTCGCCTCCAGAACTGGTCTGGGCCAGCTGCCCGCTTCGGGCCACAGGTGCCGCCTCGGAGGGGACATAACGGACCCCGAGCAGGCGGACCTGGCCACGGGCCGGCTCCGAACGTGGCCGCGGAGTCACCGCTGAGGACCCGAGCAGCACGAAGGGAGACGGGGGGGGGGGGGGGGGGCGCACAGGGGCAAATCCATGTGTGGAACTCAGATTTCTCAGAGAGAGAGACCCCTTTTCTGCTCATCGGGTGGGGGTGCAGCGGGTCGGAGCCTTTGCTAGCGCCTGAGATGGAGTGGCTTCCTCCTTGCTCACCAGGTGCCGGGCAGGTGGGTGCTCCCGGGTGGGTGTTCCCGAGTGGGTGCTCCCGGATGCATGCTCCTGGGTGGGTGCTCCCCGGTAGGTGCTCCCCGGGTGGGTGCACCCGGGTGGGTGTTCCCCGGTGGGTGCTCCCGGGTGGGTGCTCCCGGGTGGGTGCTCCCAGGGTGGGTGCTCCTGGGTGGGTGCTCCTGGGTTGGCGGTGATGCAGCTGCTGGGAAGACGATGGCGTCTGTGGGAACAGGTGTTCTCATTCAGGAAGAGCTGGGGCCGGGAGGCTGGGCCGCATTTATCTTAATTAGATAAGAAACAGCTGAGCTGTCCCCACGGCCAGGGCCCACCCAGCCCCTCCTCTCCCCAACACCCCCATCCTCCCCAGCCCCCATTCCCCCCGCATCCCCCGGCCTTCCCATCCTCCCCACATCCTCCCCAATCCCCCAGCCCCCATTGCCCCCGCACCCCCAGCCCCCCAGCCCCCCAGCCCCCCGTTCCCCCCTGCATCCTCCCCAGCTCCCGTCTGCGTCTCTCCTCTCTGTTTCCAGACATGGTTTATTGCTGAGTTTTGAGAATTCTGTCCTGTTCTGGCTGCAGCTCCTTCATCAGATGTTGTCACAGATACTCCCTCCCTCTCGGAGCTGGTCTTCCTTCACCACCTTCTGCCTCAGAGAGCAGATGCGTGAGCTGTGACAGAATGCAATCGCAGTCACTACTGAGACAGGACAGGGGTGTTAACTTTATTTAATTTTAGTTACATTGGTGAAAAGCCACGCGGAGCCAGTGGACACCAGCACATTCACGCCTGAACGCCCATCACGGA